ATAATTCAATAATTACAAAACTTCTAGTGTTTCATATGTATTAACTCTCCCCTCCAAATTGTCAGCCCTACAGACACCATTGGACATGAAAATACGACAGAATTTATTCTCTGAGGACTTTATAGTGATGAGGATGCAAAGGCTGCCTCCTTTTGTTACTCTCTGTTTGCTATCTTGCCATTCTGTCCGGAAACCTGGTCTCTCTTCTTAATGTCAAGAGCAGCCGCCTCAGTGGTCAGTCCATGTATTTTTCTCAAGGTAACTGTCCTTCAGGGATGCGTGTCCCACCTACAGTTGCCCCTAAACTCATCACAGAATTTCTGGTCAAGCAGAAGACCATCTCCTACAACAGTGGCATGGCCCACATGTTTTAGGCCCACTTTTTTGCCTCTACCAAGATCTTTATTTTGGTGGCCACAACTACTATGCAGCTATCTACAAACCCCTTCACTATACGGTATCGTGAGCAGACAGGTGTTCTATGCCCTGTTCCTGGCCTCTATTATTGGAGCATTTATCCACATGAACTGATTAGCATGAACTTCCTTTCTGTCATCCGGATCAGAGAGTTCATTATTTCTGTGATGTATTCCCACTGCTGAGACTAACATGCATCAACACAAGGCTGTTGGTGATTATAATCATCACCACAACATTTTAACCTTTGTTGCCTTGGTTCTCTGTTACATCATCCAGGCTGAGGACCCACTCCTCCAAGGGGTGCTGCTGAGCCCTGTCCACCTACGGCTCACACATTGTTGTGATGTTTTACATTATTCTTGGCCCTCATCTTCACCTATGTTCCCCACAGGTGTTTCTGACTCACACGGCACGCTATTTGTCCTATTTTACACTATGCTTGCTCCCATGTTCAATCCCTTCATCTGCACACTGAGAAACACAGACATGAAGAATGTTATTAGGAAACTGGTGTCGAGACAGCTGTTTGAAAGGAAATGATTCTCTTGGTATTGAGCTCTTTTCTTGTCTTGCTCTTGCCACAGCATCATTAATGTTGACCAATGCAGCAGGTACAGAGAAATCCAACAAAGAAACTGAATTATATACACTTACTCTCTTTCCATGTGTGACAGGAATCCATGCTTTAAGAAGAGGGATAGTTTTGTAGAAATCAGCTTCAGGATGAAGGAAGATTCAGCAATAATTTTTTCTCTTTCCAAATTTCCACATGTGTACTGTCTTAAAAAAATCTGTGTGCTTAAGATCCTTAGAGGAAATGAACTAGTGATAAATTATATTGAAAAGGAAAGAAGGAAAGATGGAATACTATAGGACAGCAAGTCAGAGTCTAGTTGCTAGTTTGATGTTTGGTGATGAATACCTGCACTTAGTAATTTCCAAAAATTCCAATTGTAATTCCTGAATTCCAATTCAGGAATGCATACGTGGACAGAGATGTCTATAGGTCTGGGTAAGTGTCTAATTCTGGTGATTATTTTAAAAACCTGTTGCTGATGCACGTGTAGATCCATTCTCCAGCAATAGATTATCGTGACATACTCCTTATTTGGTTTCTTCTAAAACAGACAGAACTTTCAGGAATCTGCTTGAATGTGGATTGTAGGTATCTTTTGTTAACCCTTGTTTATACTTTATCAGTGAAAGAAGGTTGAAAAAGAATCTATACAAGTGTGTTTAATATTATATTTATCTCTTCTTACACATTACCCATGGAAGAAATAATTGAAGGGAGGCTACTGTACACTTAGGGTCTAGAATTTTATTTTATGTATTGAATTAAAGTTGTGTTCTTTCTTTCATATCTGTTCTTTCAAGCTTGATGTTTTCAATATTGTTCCTATCAAGGAAACAACAACAACAACAACAAACTTCCTTGCCATTAATTCAATTTCAACTCTTGGCAAAGTCTTTTATTACAAATAGAACTGTTCCATAGGGTTTTCTTGACTGTAATCTTTACAGACACAGGCCATCAGGTATTTTTTTCCATAACATTACTGAGTGTTCAAACTGCTACCCTTTTAGTTTAGCAAAGGATACTAATTTGCTTACGCTGCCCAGAGGCATCCTTGCAAAATACCTTTCATTAAGTATTTGGGCAGTTTTGAAAATTTGAGTATGTCTGAAATTCCCCACTTTCACAATTTTACCATACTAACCTTGGAAAACTCAGCTCACTAATGCTGGGAAATAAGCTATTCTAAAGCTCATGGATTACACAAATGAATGGCTTTAACAAACAGGGACTTATTCTCTTACAGTTTAGGAGGCTAGAAGTCAGGTTCAAACATCCAGTGCTAGGGGCTAGATGAAGGACCCTCAATCTTGAGCTTCAGCTCTGCCTCCTTTTCCTGGCCCACTGGAGTTGGGGGGTGTCTCTTACCTCAAGCAGCTGCTGGCTGCTGAGGCTGACAAGCCCAAGGCCCACAGGTATAATGACACAGTTCCAAGATCATCAAGGGGCATAGCAGACCACTTGTCCAAATCCAGAAACATATATGCATAATATTTCCACAATAATAACTGTGGAAAAGGAAATGAAACAAAACAGAGAGATAATTAGTGATATATTTGCCTATAACCAAACAATACAAAAGAAAAAAAAAAAGTTGACATCCCAAGGTGAAGGAGCATGGTATTGCTTGGACAAGTTATCAGTTCCTATGAGGAAGGCATTTGCTTACTTGGCAAGAATGAGTCTCTGTAGCACTTAGAGATGGTGTCAGGTTAGCTAACAAAGGATGTAGTACAAGTGACTCACTATATTCAATAAATTTGTTTGGTCAAACATGAAGGAAAGAGGAAAAATAATAGAAATTTTATGCATCCTGTTCACTGAATCACAGTCACCCATTCATCATAAATGACTGTTTTCACTCTGTGTCTTCAGATGTTCTGGGAGTCATTTCACATGAACAGGGACTACAGCTGGAGACTCTATGTATCTATTAGAATCAGTCAACAGCAGAACACTCATGTTGTTGTTGTTAGGTGCTGCCGATTCAGCTCCTATGCATAGTGACCCCACGTACAACAGAATGAAACACTGCCCACTCCCGCACCAGCTTCAGGATCCTTGAAGTATCTGAGCCTATCGCTATGACCAGTGTGCCAACCTATCTTGTTAAGGGCCTTCCTCTTCTCCGGTGACCCTCCACTTTACCACCCATGGTATCCTTCTTCAAGGAATGGTCCCTCTGACACCATGACCAAAGTAGGTGTGACAAAGACTGTCGATTCTCTCTTTCAAGGAGCATTCCGGCTGCACTTCCTCCAGGACAGATTTGTTAGTTCTTTTAGCAGTCCATGGTACTTTCAGCATTCTTCGCCAGCACTACAACTCAAAAGCATCAATTCTTCTTTGGTCTTTCTTATTCATTGTCCACCTTTCACATGCAAATGATGTGATTGAAAATGCCATAACCTGGGTTATCTTCAAGGAGATATCTTTGTTCTTCAGCACTTTAAAGAAGTCTTCTGCAGCAGTGCAATATGTCGTCTGATATCTTGACTGCTGCTTCCATTGCTGTTGATTGTGGATCCAAGTAATATGAAATCTTTAACAACTTTAATATTTTCTCCATTTAGCATGATGCTGCTAATTGGTCCAGTTATGAGAATTTTTGTTTTCTTATGTTGAGGTATAAGTGACTGTTTTCTTAATTTTCATCAGTAAGTACTTCAAGTCATCTTCACTTTGAGCAAGCAATGTTGTGTCATCTGCATATCACATGTTGTTAATGAGTCTTCCTCCATTACTAAAGCCATGCTCTTCTTCATATAATACAGCTTCTTGGATTATTTGCTCAGTATACAGATTGAATAAGTATGGTGAAAGGCTACAACCATGACACACTCCCTTCCTAATTTTAAACCATACAGTATCCCCTTTTTCTGTTCAAATGACAGCCTCCTGGTTCATGCACAGGTTCCTCATAAGCACAATTAAGTGTTCTGGAATTCTCATTCTTCTCAATGTTATCCTTAATTTGTTATGACCCACACAATCAAATGCATAGTCAATAAAACACAGGTAAATATCATTCTGGTATTCTTTGATTTCACCCAGCATGTCTCTGATATCAGAAATGATATTTCTCTTTCTATGTCCTCTTCTAAACCAGCTTGCATTTCTGGAAGTTCTCTGTCAATAGACTGCTGTAAACGTTTTTGAGTTATCTTTAGCAAGATTTTTCTTGCTTGTAATATTAATGACATTGTTCGATACTTTCCACATTCTGTTGGATCATCATTCTTTGGAATGGGCCCAAATATGGATCTCTTCCAGTCACTTGGCCAGGTTGCTGTTTTCCAAATCTCTTGTCATAGACAAGTGAGTGTCCAGCATGGCATCCATTTGTTTAAACATCTCATTGGCTATTCTGTCAATTCCTGAAACCTTGTTTTTCACCAGATCTTTCAATGCAGCTTCAATTTTTATCTTCAATACAATTGGTTCTTGATCATATGCCAACTCCCGAAATGGTGAAATTAGCATATTCATAGGCTAAAATAATTAAAACGTAGTCAACTTGTCCTACTTCCTTATTATTTGGGCCAAAAAAGTTATTTCTATAGAAAAGGAAATGTGTTTTCAGCTGCCTCCCCTCAAGATCAGAGGGTGAGAATATGTCTTTTGTCTTTTAAGTATGTATTTTATCTTTTTTTTTTTTTTTTAAATGAAACATACTTTTCCTTTCCCTTTCCAAGCTTTCTCCATTTAGTTTCTGTGTTTTGGAAGGATTTATGACAACATACTTTATCCTAGATTCTTGTTAGTTCTCTTGTACGTTTTGTTCATATAACAAATGATATTGAGTGCTTAATATGCGCCAATCACAGTTCTAAATAGACTTTCACTTTAAAAAATAAAAAAAAAATTAGGTAAGCTTTGGGAGGAGAAAATGTTTGTTTCTCAATAACCCTGTAGGTTTTGCATTACTATCTTTGTTCTATAGTTGCATTAACCAAGACTGAACAACTTAAAATCAATCTGGTTTAAGAATCATCACTTCAAACTATTTGTAATTAGCCTTCCATAAAACCTCCCTACACCACAGTTTCTTCATAGCATTTTTCACTTCTGTATTTCTCAGTGTATAAATCAGGGGATTTAACATGGGGGTGACACTGGTATAAAATACAGCCACCATCTTATCCTCAGCAAAGGTAGTATTAGGGCGCATGTATATGAAAGTACAGGGACCAAAAAACATGATGACGACAGCAATGTGGGAGCCACAAGTGGAGAGAGCTTTGCGCCTGCCTTCTGCTGACTGCTTTCTCAGGGACAGTAGGATGACAGTGTAGGAGATTAACAAGATTACAAAGCCTCCCAGGGAAAAAGTCCCACTGTTGGCTGTGTCAACAACAGCAGAAATAGATGTGTCTGCGCAGGCCAGTTTTAGCAAAGGGTGGACATCACAAAAGTAGTGATCAATCTCATTGGGTCCACAAAAGGGGAGCTGAAGCACAAAAGACAGCTGGATAACAGTGTGTACAAACCCACCTAGCCAGACCCCCAGCATTATTTTCTTGCATCTGCCCTGGTCCATGATGGTCATATAGTGTAGGGGTTTACAGATGGCCACATACCGATCATAGGCCATTATGAGAAGGAGGAGGATCTCACTGGATCCAAGGAAATGTGCCACCAAGAGTTGCAAAGTGCACCCCACATAGGAGATCGTTTTTCTCTTGGATAATAGGTCAGCAATCATTTTGGGAGTTACAGCTGAAGAGAAACAGAGGTCCATAATAGACAAATGGTTGAGAAAGAAATACATAGGAGACTTGAGAAGATTACCCATGTGCACAGTCAGTATGATGAGAAGGTTTCCCAGAAGTGTAGCCGTGTACAAGAAAGAAAACACCACAAAACAAACTCCTTCCACCTTTGGGTTCTGAGAAAGTCCCCTAAAAATGAACATAGTTACATTGTTCATTTTTCCCATGAAATTATTGCGGGAGCTCAAGTTCCTGAGGAAATTAAGTTACCTGAAAAAAATAAAAAGGACCAATAGCATTATTTCCATTATAGAGAAGAATAGATAATCACAGTTATTGAAAATGAAAGATAATACTTACTGCTATCTGGAATGCACAATCAGAGAAAGTGAAGTTTATATTATTCTGCCTCCTGTCCTTCATTCAACAGTCCATTCATTCATTTCAGATGAGGAAACAAAGTCCAGAAAGATCAAGCAAATCCCAAAAGTCACCCATCAAGGGAAAAGTTCCCTCTCTCTTGTCATTATTTAAAAATTATTATTTATTTATTTCAAACATTTGCTTAGTTCTTATTTTATATAAGAACACACACTTATTTTAAAACAACTTCTGTGTTTGGGGTCCTTGCATGATGTGAAGAGCTAAAGTGCTCAGGTGCTAACCAAAATGTGGGAGATATACGTCCACTAAGAAACACTTTGAAAGAAAGGCTTGGCAATCTACGCTGAACTAGTGAAAACTATCTGCCTGGAGCATAATGCTCTTTTAGGAATGATGGGATCAAATTGACAACAACAACTTCAAAATTAGTTAGGAAACTTAGAGGGCAGTGAGTTTATGCCCATTTGGGAGGAATAACTCAGAAAAGAGAGTGGGAATGGTTGTACAACTCAAAGAATGTAAGAATGACACTGATTTCCACATAACAAAAGTTTTGAATTAGTGCTTGTTTTTTGTGTGCATTTTCACAACAACTACAAAATAAGTAAAAACAAACAACACACACACAAAAAAAATCCCATGAAGCACAGTTATACTCTGACACACAAGGACCCACCCCATGTTAGACAGAACTCTTCAGGAAATGTATGGTGTGTTTTTGTGTACCCTTTATATACCTGGAGAAGTTCACCTCCGGTTTAAAACAGAAATGAAGGCCTAAGTCTACAATTTCCCTTCTGAGTATGAGCATGCCTGTGTGTCACATTCACCAGTGTGCTCAAGTAGTAGTGACTAGTGACCTCAACAGGTTCTCTTACTTATGAAACTTGGATCTTTATATGTATGTGTTTATGCTCTCTTCTTGATGTGCAATTGATTTGATGCTTTTTCATACTTGAGTAGACTGCATAATTGTTTGAGGCTGGAATCTATGCCATTAGTATTTCAGATACCTGCAGGATCTTCCGTGGTTGTCAGGTTTAAGCAGAACTTCAAAACTCAGACAAACTGGGAACAAGAACAGGGCTATCCATTTCTGAAAAAAAAAAAAAAAAAAAAAAAACACTACTGGAAATTTTGTGAAGAGCTATGAAATACTGTCTCATATATTACAAGCAAACTTTATCAACAGAACTGAAATATTGGTATTTGTCTGTTATATTGCTGGAAATTGAGCCCCTCAGGTTGAATGGCACTCAAACTACAACTAAGGAAGTGCTATCTGCCCAATGTAGAGTCTATGTAACTTTGATGGAGTAATCCTTTGGGACCTTCTTTTGCTGTTGGGAATGACTGAAAATGGGAAAAAACAGCTATAAACATTAATTAAAAATCCTAATGTATCATATACAAAATATGAATCCAGGAAAATTTGAAATTTTCAAAAATGAAATGCAATATATAAAGATTGATATCCTAGGTATTAGTGAGCTGAAATGGACTTATATTGGCCATGTTGAATCAGATGATCATATCTACTAGGCCAGTAAAGACAAATTGAGGTGAGTGGCATCACACCCATTATTAAAAAGAACATTTCATGATCTATCTTGAAGTATGATACTGTCAATGATAGGGTAATATCCATATTCCTGCAAGGAAGACCATTTAATAACACTATTATTCAAATTTACACAACAATCAAGTTAAGTATGAAGAAATTAAAGATATTTAACAACTTCTGCAGTATGAAAATGATAAAATATGCAGTCTAGATGTATTGATAATTATAGGTTATTGGAATGTGAAAGGTAAAAAAAAAATAATAAAGATACAAAAATGGCATCACTGCTTGCATGATAGAGTGTTGCAAGACCAATGACTTATTCATTGCAAATGCCTTTTTTCAACAACATAAATGATAATGACACACATAGACCTTTCCAGATGAAATACATAGAAATAAAATTGACTGCATCTGTGGAAAAATGAAATGAAGAAACTCAATATCATCATTCAGAAGAAGGCCAAGTGCTGACTGTGGAACAGACCAACAGTTGCTCATCTGCAAGTACAAGTTGAAGATGAAGAAAACTGAAGAAGTCCACGAGAGCTTAGAATTGACCTTGAGTATATTACAACTGAATTTAGATGTGATATGAAGAATAGATTTAACACATTAAACACTAGTAACAGAAAGCTAGACAAGTTGTGGGATGACATGTAATACATCATAGATGGAGAAAGCAGAAAGTCATAAAAAGGCAGTAAAGGAAAAAAATACCAAAATTGATGTCAGTAGAGACTCTGAAAATTGCTCTTAAATATATTGTAAGTAAAGTGAATGGAAGAAGTGATGAAATAAAAAAGCTCAACTGATTTCAGAGGGCAGCTCAAGAAGGCAAAGTAAAATATCACAAAGAAATTTCCAAAGATCTACAATTAGAAAACCAAAAAGGGAACGGCACACTTGGCATTCCTGAAAGTGAAGGAATTGAGGAAATATTCAAGCCTCAAATTAAAATATTGAAGGATTCTATGGCAAAACATTGAATGATGCAGGGAGCATCAAAGAAAAATGGAATGAAAACGCATAATCATTTTATCAAGAAGTGCTGGTGGATGTTCAATCATTTCAGGAGATAGCATATGATGAAAAGCCAATGATTTTGCAGCAAGAAGTCCAAGCTTCACAGAGGGCATTAGCAGAAAACAAGGTTTGAGGAATTGAAGAAATATCCATTGAGATGTTTTGACAAAGTGATGCAACACTGGAGGTGCTTACTCCATGCCAAAAAAATTGGAAGAACTAACCTGGACGACTGACCGGAAGAGATTCATATCTGTATCCATTAACTAAAATGTGTTCCAAGAAAATGTGGAAATTATAGAACAATATCACTAATATCACATGCAAGTAAAATTCTGCTGACGATAATTCAAAAATAGTGACAACAGTATATCGACAGGCAACTACCAGAAATTCAAGCTAGATTTAGAAGAGGATGTGGAATGATGGACATCATTGCTGATGTCAGATGGATCTTGGCAAAAAATACCAGAAAGATGTTTATCTATGTTTTATCTTTATGAACTTTATTGGTTTATCTGAATCATAAGACATTATGGGTAACATTGCCCAGAATGAGAAAGCCAGAACACTTAATTCTGCTCAGAAGGAAACTGTATAAAGACCCAAAGGCTGTTGTTCAAACAGAACAAGGGGATTTTACATGGTCTAAAATCAGGAAGGGTGTCTGTTAGGGTTGTTTTTTCACCATACTTTTTCAAGCTCTTTGCTGAACAAATAATGTAAAAAAGTGGACTACATGAAGAACAGCACAACATCAGGATTGGAGGGAGAAACACTGACCATCTGGGATATGTAGGTTATAGAGACTTGCTTGCTGAAAGTGAAGATGACTGGAGGCACTTACTAATGAAGATCACAGACTACACTCTTCATTATGAATTGCACCTCATCAGAAAGAAAAGAAAAATTCTCACAACTGGATCAATGAACAACAGCATGATAAATGAAAAAAAAAAAAAAAAAAAAAAACTCCTGTTGAAGTTGTCAAAGATTTTATTTTAATTAGATCCACAATCAACAGCCATGGAGGAGGTAGTCAAGAAATTAGAATTCTTAATGTGCTGGGAAAATCTGTTACAAGACTTTTTAAAGGATTAAAAGTAAAGATAGCACTTTGAAGACTAAAGTCATCCTGACCCAAGCTATAGTAGTTTCAATAGCCTCATATGCATGTGAAAGCTGGACAATGAATAAGGAAGACCAACAAAAACCAAAAAAAAGACCAAAAAAAACAAAACAAAAAAAATGACTTTGATTTATGGTGTTGGTGAAAAACACTGACAATCCCATGGACTACCAGAAGAATGAACAAATCTGCCCTGGCAGAAGTGCAGCCAGAGTACTCCTTTGAAGCTAGAATGGCCAGACTTTGTCTCACCTGTTTTGGTCGTGTTGTCAGAAGGGACCAATCTCTGGAGGGGGTATCTTACTTTGTAAAGTGGAAGGACAGAATAAAAGGGAAAGATCGTCAATGGGATGAATTGAGACAGTGGCTGAAATGATGGCCTCAAGCATAGCAAGGACTGTGAGGATGGCCCAGGACCAGGTGGCGTGCTGTTCTGTGGCACATAGGGTCCCTATGAGTCAGAGCCAACCTGACAGCACCTAACAGCAACAACCTGATTAGAAGCTGTTTTACAGTAGGATGTGGTGCAGTGAAGTGGAGAGAGGACCACACTATCCCACGCTGACTCTTAGATAAGGGGGCTGCTGTTCATCTTGTGTGTGTTAGGTGCCATCAAGTCAATTTTTGACTCATAGAGATCACATTTGCTGAGGGTTTCAAACTGCATTGTGGCATAACCATAGGTAAACCTTTTAATATCCTCACTTCTGCTTCTCTGTTTCTGATGTGAGAAAGTTCCAATTTCACTGTCCTCTCTATCATTTTAGTAATTATTTCTACCATGAATTGAATCATGCTGTCAGCTTTGAATAACTATGAAACCCCCTGGTAGAGAAGGAGAGAGAAGAGAACATAAGGCAATAAAAGAAACTCACTGGGAACAAAGCAAGACCTATTTGATATGAAAGGATGTGAAATGAAGTCACAGGTGATTTTTCATCTTTAAAATCAGAATGTTTGAGGATTTCTCAGGCTTTATTTTGCTTTGGAATTTCATTCTTTTTTCTGTTGACTGGTCACAGGGGATGGCATCGGGGGTGAGTGAGAGAACCATGTCCTTTAATCTCACTGTCCTTCAGGCATTCTCTTACCCCTTCAACTTTCATCATGGTTTA